AACAAATTAACAACAAATATCCACTATGTAATATATTCATCATTCTCTAAGTACACATGATATAGCTAGTAATATAGTATTTCCAGTTTGAAATACTTCCACTAATCTATTAAAAGTACAAAAAGCGAAATCTTTAACTGTTGGATCAAACCGACATATCTGCTTAGGTGGATATATTAACTTAATCAATAGTGTTCATGAGAAGACCAATTATGAGGCAATGAGTAGTAAAAAAAACCACATAACATTGGAAAATTTACATTATGACCGGGAGTCACCTAGGCTGGAAACCACCAATCAATCTTAACGGGAAGAAATTCAATCGTAAACAAGACTAGAGATGATATTGGTTATTAATACGTGATCAGCTAATTTATACGTTTCAATCTCTAAGGAGTAACTTTTATGATCGAGGTGAGGTGATGCAGGTCCCGATCCTATGGATGCAACAGATTCTTTGAAACTCCAGACACGTTTCGCTTATAAATGCCAACTAGTATAGAATACTAAAGTTCAGGGTTTCTAATTAATTACTTCCAATCATTTAACTACTGATGGATCAATAGGAGAGGGAAATCTAGAGTATGGCAGTTATAGCAGAAAATAAACACCAATTCAAAGTAAAAAACTAAGTAACAAAGACTGGCATTATCTGAGAGCATGGAAAAGGCAGTTTTATTTTAAGTTGCAGCAGAAGCAGCTGGAAGAAAGTTAGGAGGAAGGTGAAATAAAAGTGACATCAATTCAAGAAACTATCACTTTTCGGCTTGAAACTTGTCAGCAGGTCCAGACTGCCTGGATGGATTTCGCACAATAACCACATGAATCAGAATCAACCACATCAGCCCAAGTACACTCAATCTGTCTTACACTACTTCCTGAGCTCGAACAACATTTCTTACTCCTCGCTACCTGAGTTTATCCGTTCAAACCATAGCTTCCTATACTCAATCTTTTGCGCAACCATTATTGCTGCTTTTATTCGGGCTTCGCTGCTCATCTTGGGATTTTTTTCACGTCATGTTTATCTTCTACAGCAACTTCGGCTGCGTTCTGTTGCACAGTCATCTGATCCTGATGCTGACCACACAAGATTTCTATACGCGAGCACAAACTAGTTACTTGGGTGATAAGAAAGACTTATTGACTGGAACTGAATCGAGAACATATGTACTCATTCCAAAATATACACCTTTTCTTCCTGGAAAACAAACCTACATTTTCAATCAAAAATGTCCTTTCTTAAAAAGTGAAGCCAAGTTTTGAACGATGGCATGTGCCTATACTGTGCACTGCCTGATTGGTCTGACATATCGGATTGACGCTTGCTCGTATAAGGCTTTGTTGATTATGATTGACTGACAACCTATACTAGATTCTACCGAAGTGCACTAATTTATTAGTTTGAGTATACATAATTAACAAAGATAAAGTATCACAACACAACTATACGCAGCGTTCCAAAGACTTATGAGGCAGATAGGCAAAGCTCTAAAATATTTATAGTTGACATAGCGATTAAAATAATGTACAATTTTCAATATATAAAGGTCAAGTTACTGTTTTAGTCACCATTAACATAACTAATAATATATGGATCAGATAAATGTACACTTTATTGTGATAAAATATACGGTAATGAAACTTCAAACTAACCATCCGGGTTTTAATCCGGAATCACTGGAACGGAAACGTGAATAGGGAGAACCTAAATTATGATGATTTGCTGAACGTATGTTCGAGTTATTGCAGCCAGAATCTTCTAAGGAACTTGTACGTCTAAAACAAATATCAGATGTACATTTGGATTGTTTTGCAGGGTATTTATATTCATTAGTCTTGCCTTTATCATTTTGGCCACTCTTCCCGTTACACTCCACTGAAGAACTGACCAATTTAGTTGGTGTGCGATTATAGATTCCATGGAATAAGCCAGAAGGTGGATCACTGATTGCTTCCGAATCGTTTGAACCTGGGAATAACCAAAAAATATGGATTTTTCGAGTGATTTATACAATTTAGAAGACAAAAATATTCACTTCAGTATAAATAAAGTGGTCGAATGTAAAATTAAGGGAAACTGGATTAAAGTGATCGCGTATTTTGAAGAAGTTAGTTTGCAAGGTGATATTCTTTACCTACTAACGAATCGTTTACATGACATTATCCATTTATGTGAATACAAACATGAATGTTAGCTGATGATTGCAAACCATATGAAAACTTTAGGCACTACTACCACTCCAGACTTAATGACCTATAGATGGGACGTTGACCGTACTAACATAACTTGGAGAATCATCAAGAGATTCTTTGAATAATTTTTGACGGGTATGGACAATATTGAAAATTGACCACTCATTACAAAATATTTTCCGATAAATTTCAATTTTCATACCAGGATTGAATGCTTTCAGCATATTATATACGTATGTTCATTGAATAGTGTTGACATGACCATAACTTTACAAAAACACACGAAACTTTGCAGCATTGTTTGGATCAAACCATACAATTTTTTAAAGCTTCACACTTGTTGAACAAAACATAGAAAGACCTTAAATTTCAGATTGGAAGTTATGTCGGAGGCGGGTTTTAGAATTGTATCCATGGAGGTATCACTTATTACAAAAACAGAAAACCTGAGGAAGTTTATCGCAAAGCGAACCATAAAGAGACTCGAGACCACCAGCCAAAAATTAAAACGAATAGCATCTCAAGGAATTCGATCATCGATCGAAATGAGTGCAGAGAAAATAGTTATACATAAGGAGAGTGGTGAAATTTACTAGATTTTGATGGAAATCAGCATAATGCACACAATTTCAGGTTAATCCAACAAACTTTTCAGTCTAGGAAAATTAGCTACGTGAAACCAATTGTTTTAGACAATGTAGTTGTTTAAAATGAACTAATTCTGGACCTAAACCTGATTCACTTAACTTTAAATGGATGAAATTGTTTTCCCTACACATTTACTACATTTTAACATGATTGTAGATATTAACTGTTGAGCAGTACAAATGATGCCCAACCGTCTAAGTTATCAATAATACATTCCAAATTATATATTTCTTAAATAAAAAATTACCTGTACTGGAAGTCCATAGACAGCTTGAGGATTGAGAACGAATATAATGGTTTACGGAAGAAAAGGATTTTGCATTTTGGAACTTCGTATTAAATAAATTTGAAATCACAAAATTAGGATTAGATAAATCGAATTGATCTGTTGCTTGACAAGTTAGAAAGTGGTCAGCATCACTTGAAAATCCTGATTCTGAACAACACAGTGAATATGTACTGGAGGGTGAATCGTGATTGTTCACTTCAACATTTAGCTGGCACTATTGGTTGAAATCATAAGATTTAACAAAAAAGATACAAGTAACAACTCGTTTTATGAAGTTGATGCAAATTGTTATTAGCAGTCAAAATTAATAGGAATGAAGCAAATAAACCAGTATACATAACCGAGAACATGAATACTTGAACATAGCCAGTCTTCAGTATTGCATGCAGCTAGTCAAATAAATAATAAATCGCCGACGAGCGCTTATTTTGACCTTCAATAAACTTAGGTTAAAGTATCCCAATTAAAATGTATAATCAATGAATATAATCAGGAAAGGAATGTTACACCAGTTAAACGTGACCACGTAGTATACGTGGTAGTATACCATAGTAACTCTTCCGACTTCTGACGGGCGTCAACCATAAGAAATAACCAGTTTAGTATTTACTTATGAAGTACTTTCAAAATCCGACGAATTGATTCATTTATTATTCGGGCCGTAAAACAATATATGACAATCTACTATGAATGGATATTTTTTTATGTAACAAACGGCAGTAAACCTCTTTTAGCTCCTTACAATGTAAAATCCTTTCACTGTCGAGTTTCCTACCAAGTAACTTGTGAAAATCTAGTTTATCTTCACTCAATGCTCCTTATTTTCACTTCACTGGTGAAATCGCCCAAAAAAACCAGTTCATTAGACATCAGCATTCCTCTTCTAGTATCTGGTTTTTAAATACAAACAACCATTCGGCGTTCTTTTTAGTTTGTAGACAGAAGAAAGGAAACCAACATATTCAAAAATATATACTGGTGAGACAATTATGTGATTAGCAGCAAACAAAGTAATTAGTAAAATAGTATTTATAAGTTCCTTAAACCAACTTTATATCTATTGACTTGTGACTGAAGTGAGGTTTAGCTTAATTCAATTTATATTAGTAACCATGAATGATTGTGTTTGGCTGTGATATGAAATTCAAATGAAATAGCTATTGATACTATCTGGTTCTCAAAATCAAACGAATGGAATAGTGTTGGAATATGCTACACAAGTGCTTTAACTATTACACAAAGATTTTAACAATGCAAACATATAACTACAGGTTAATGTCTGATGTTCTAAAACTCTTTAACTTTTTAACACGTGAAATCAGCAGTCACTGAAGGGCGGATAAGATCATGCAACAAATCACAAGGGTAAAACCGTCGCGGTTTTACTTTTAGGTTATGTTGTCTAAGACGCTGCAGAACGGTTTTCAGGTTAGTATTGTGTTGTTCGGGTGTGCTACTGTATACAATAATGTCATTAAGATAAATCAAACATTTGTCGGGCGCTATATCTTGTAATACTGTTTGCATCAATCTTTGATAAGTAGCCAGGGCATTCGTTAAACCGAAATGCTTTACTTGGAATTCATATAAACCATTTGGTACTATAAATGCAGTTTTCTTTCTATCCTGCGGTCGAACTTCCACTTGCCAGTACCCAGATGCTAGGTGCAAGGTGGAGAACCAACAGCACTTTTTAAGGCGTCCAGTGTAGTATCAATCCGCGGAAGTGGAAAAGAATCGCGTTTAGTTATGGTATTAAGGCGTCGGTAGTCTAGTGAACGTGAACACAAAATTTATTGTGATAGGCTTATTCACGCATATATATATATATATATATATATATATATATATATACACTTCAACCTACATGTTCTGTAGGGGTTATCCGTAAGTTAGAATTGAATTTAGAATATGAAACAGGATGGCAGATATTAGTGGACGGTGTTGAAGTGAACGAACTACCTGAATGTGAACGTGAAATGGATGATATGGGCAAAAACAGATTATTTGTAGTTTGGTTAGTTGACACAAACGACGGCGAATGTTGCATTGGTAAAGATGGACCATTTAGTTCCTGAAGAAAAGAAAGTCAGATATTTTATCTTACGTGTTTATTTAACCATGCTACATAATACTTTGGACTGGATTTGTTTTTCACCTAAATTTCATCGATCGACTTCACTAGCTGTAAATTGACTGATTTATATAATCGTTAAATATAGCTCATATTAACTCAATAGCTTAGCCTGATTATTGATTATTTTAGGTCTTGTTGATTCCTACCATAACGACAAAGACAGGACCCCTTAATTTGATTCAATCATCATAAACATAATGAAATTTTCATAACTTTAACTGCTCTTTCGACAAATTTGTAAAAGCATTGGTAAGGCCGACGGGTATATGACACCAACTCGGTTTCTTTTTCATATTTTCATGCACTGTACATTGATTGGATCCATTCTCCAAAGTAATAGGCATAATTTGATGACTAATTATCTAAAAATATAGATCAATCAGAAATAGTCAGCTTTTTAAAATTAGACTGAAAACCAGCTTTTTGTTCGCTTTAAGCCGTTTGAAACATAGATCTAATATCCATGTACTAACCTTTAGTTTGGTAGTCTTTACGAACATTTTTTACATACTTAATAATCAAACTCGATTGTTGAATCTTTTAATTGTATGTAATTTTGGTACTCGAGTTCATAAGAGCGCCAAGAATTCTCATTTCCTTTAAAAGGATTGATATTAGTCATATTCATAGCTCTTAACATCATCCCATTTTTCAAATAAAAGCAACTAAGTCCCACACTAACTACAATCAAGGTTTCGTTACGCAAAAAGAACTTGAAATCAAAAAAGGAGCCATACCTATAATACACTAAGTTATTTGAACGAAAAGCAAGTAGATTTACTAAGTTTATATTTAGGAGTATTAATGTGAACTAACTGAGAAGTCAAGATAACCGCGAACTTACAACGGATTATGTACGAGATGATAACTTACAATTTCAAAAGAACTTCGATTTTTAAATATATACTTCCAACGTTCGCATAACTCTAGGTGCATAATCCAAAGACTCCAGCCTCTGGAAGTTAACTTGTCGATATTTTCAGTAAGTTTAAAGATGAGGAAATCAAAAGTCTCGCCTAAATATGAATGTAGTTTGTTTTCGACACTGAATACCCGGAGCTGTAAAAGCAGACAGCTAGCGGCGGATAGCGTTTGCATAGATCTTTTGAGGGAGATGTGCTCAGCCTATATAAGTATAATATATACAAACTCTAAAGATAACCATAACACAATGAATATGAGAATTTATTTGGAAAAATCAAACATTTTGAAGTTAAATCATACAGATAAAATACAGTGATATACCTTAAGAAGTGACGTGTTTAGAGACGGAATATACAACAGTTAAAAAGATAAAAACGATTAAGCCATTGGACAACTCAGTTCCTTCATGGTAGTTGGTCGTAAAAGTGCTGTTCGTAATTGTTTTATAAAAGTAAATAGAGTAGAGAAGCCGAAAATGCAATCATATGTGAATTGGGAAGTAGTTTTGGACCCACCAACTCCTATTCTTGTTGTTGAGAAAAGAACGTCTCCTAAGACGGCATGTAACTGAAATATACTTCCTCATATGGCTCTATAAAAGAATAATTTCGAAAACCATTGTTGGACATCGTGGCATTCAGTTCCTGATCATGTAGTAGTGACTTGATATACATAAATAAAACTTTTTCTATAAACTAAAATCTATGAGTTCCCTGACAAGTATTTGGATGGGTCGTACTTTCAAAGCCTTAACTGATCCTTTAACGCACTGAATGAGCAGACTCGTGAGACAGTGTAGTCAAAACTATAAATAGGGAAGAAACGTACAATAACCAAAAACGATCTAGACATGCTGAATTTGTTCACTTCTGCAGTATTAAGTCATCAAGATGTATTTGGCGAGTAAACAAGTTTCGAAATAAAGGTGGTATTTATTACTACGGGTCTGAGATTATTCATTCGTACTAGCCAATAACAATAAACTTCCTTGATGAACACTAATTAAATCTGTATGTAACTGAATGGTGGACCGAAAAAAATTCAATAGATATTTTGGAAGCATCGCACACAACACTTCGGTTTGGGACCCTGATGAATAGGATGCCCTTCACTGGTTCTTTGAATACTCCGGAGAAAAAACATATTACCCTTTGAATACCTTTACAATAGACAAAAAGTATCATTACATCAAAACCATATATATGTATTCAGTACGGTAATTAGCAAAATGTCAAAAATCATAGTGACAGTTATTACATTTATTGATGTCGGAACATGGACACGTAAAGTGGGAGAGCAAGCATATATTATTGACAAAACGCATGCGTTTATTTTACTCATGTGTCCGTAGATTATGAGGACTTTGGATTTGAGATAAACGATGGAAGAGATGTAATAAACTGCACTACAAAAGTTCACTAATACAAGCTTATGAGAAAAGGAAACTGACCTTAAGTACATCTATTTCTGAATTTAAATCACATGTTCCTCTCATCGACTTGGTTAGTACGGCCTGTAAGCGAAAAGTTCCTGGTTAAAAATTTGAAAAAAATAATCTAGTTCTAGTACGAGCTTGAAATAACAAAAAAGGAGGGATAGAGAAATGGGATAACCAAGTGCTGTCCCGAGATGCTTCACAACACGAAGAAAGGGAACTAAGCGAATAGCGACAAATAACCAGAAAAAAAGCAACAGAACGAGAGCAGACAATCGAATTTATGGAAATTGTAACAACTAAATACATAAATGACATACACTGAGTCATTTTACACGATCTTTAAATACAATGAACGTTTGACATATCTAGATAAGAACATGCACACCTTCCTATTCTTCAGTAAATGATTTAATTTTGATAAAGCCAAGGTATTTTTCAACTTTTTCACGTCAGTAAGGATTGATCAAGATTTGGAAAAGAGGATTTTTAAATTTACGAAACTGAAATTCAAACTAACACCATAAGGCTTTTAAGGCTGTTCAAATCAAATCCACCCTTAATGATGAACCCTTCAGCAAACCAACCAAAAAATGGAAATTTGACTGCATAACTGTGAACTTCTATACAAACCATTTCAATCATAGTGCTGGGTCCAATAATCGGAAAATGAGCTTCATAAACACAGATCTAATGAGACCTCTTTTCAGGAAAGAAGTCGTCGTTATAGATTATAACGAATGTAAGTTCACTTAATCACAAGAAAATGTTGTTTGACAAATATGTAACACTTATTTATGGTCAAACATGATTAATACATACGTATCTTGACTATAGAAAGTCTGATCTCAAATAGAGTTGAGCAGATGATATTGTAAAGAGCGGATGTTGACAAGACATTATACGCGGGAAAATTAACAAAAATGAAAATGTCCAAATCTAACTTCTTAAAAATTAATCGACGGTTTCGAAAACACATCATAAACACACTGCCCATTTTTGGTCGAGGAGTACATAAAGATTATGGTGAATAGCTGTCTGTAAGTCTGTTACGAAGATTTACGACATTTACCGGCTTGAAACTTGTCAGCAGGTCCAGACTGCCTGGATGGATTTCGCACAATAACCACATGAATCAGAATCAACCACATCAGCCCAAGTACACTCAATCTGTCTTACACTACTTCCTGAGCTCGAACAACATTTCTTACTCCTCGCTACCTGAGTTTATCCGTTCAAACCATAGCTTCCTATACTCAATCTTTTGCGCAACCATTATTGCTGCTTTTATTCGGGCTTCGCTGCTCATCTTGGGATTTTTTTCACGTCATGTTTATCTTCTACAGCAACTTCGGCTGCGTTCTGTTGCACAGTCATCTGATCCTGATGCTGACCACACAAGATTTCTATACGCGAGCACAAACTAGTTACTTGGGTGATAAGAAAGACTTATTGACTGGAACTGAATCGAGAACATATGTACTCATTCCAAAATATACACCTTTTCTTCCTGGAAAACAAACCTACATTTTCAATCAAAAATGTCCTTTCTTAAAAAGTGAAGCCAAGTTTTGAACGATGGCATGTGCCTATACTGTGCACTGCCTGATTGGTCTGACATATCGGATTGACGCTTGCTCGTATAAGGCTTTGTTGATTATGATTGACTGACAACCTATACTAGATTCTACCGAAGTGCACTAATTTATTAGTTTGAGTATACATAATTAACAAAGATAAAGTATCACAAGACAACTATACGCAGCGTTCCAAAGACTTATGAGGCACATAGGTAAATCATAGAAATCTCTACACCTTATCAATTGAGTGAATAAATAAAAAAATTTAGTTCAGATAGATGGAAAAAGCAGGTTGTTATTGCCCGGGAAGACAAACCTTCAAAATCTTCGACTCGTATCTTGTTCGTGTTTGGAAATACACATCTTGAAGGAGGGTAAGCTTAGCTTCCCTCAATAAGAAGTTCTGATTTATAATCCACAGTAGCCATATAGATTTGGAGATAATAAAAGAATCATTTTTCCCGAATTTCAGTCAGTCATTTACAACGTAGAACTTCGTACGTACGTACATCAGTTCAAATTGCCATACCACATTTGCACAGAGACACAATTGTCAATTCAAATCCCATAGTAGTAGAGGTAGTAGAAGTATTAGCAGTAATCGGAGAGATTAGTGTTCGAATATATTATTCAAGAAGTATAATCTAGTGTAATATACTTGGAAAAGAAAGATAACGGTGACGGAGAAGTAGTGAATTCCGATGACAGTTCACCATAAGCTTTCACTCGACCAGTAGTGTCCCAGTGGAGAGCTTTTTTAAGGTTAATGTACTTCTATGATACTCCTTTGAGTGACAGACACTGCCACAGAACCTCACGATCGGACAATATTTTGGATACTATATTAGTGAAACTGGTTCCTCTGTGATTGTCACAAGAGGACTTTTGTCCTTTTTATAAACTGGGACAATCTGATTGAGACCAGTCAGATGGGATTACGTCGGGTTCCCAAATTCTACCTAAGATCTCGTTCAATCTAGCTGTTAAAACTGGACCACCATCCTTAAAGATCTCAGGGGAAGCTTATCAGGCCCTGCGGCTCTCCCTCGCTTCAGATTTCCTATAGCTTTTTCAACTTCATACAGACTCGAAGAACTTATATCGATTTGCCACTCAGGTTGACTGGAGATCGTGGGCAACCGAAGTGTGGCTGAATGCCAGTTGAATGAGTATAATATTATTAGAAAACTTGTCAAATAAACAAGTAAGGGTCAACTTACGTCTACTGACTGAGCCAAGCTTAGCCTCAGTTTCTTGAAGATCCAGTTCAACATCTACAAATAAAAAAGCACATTTTGGTGAAATCGAAATCGTTTCTTTTTCAATATTGGAATTGTAAAATTATGTAAAATTATGGTCTCTAACCTTTTATTGTACGTGCTGGGTCGTTGAATATGCTCATCGGTCGGACGAAACTTGTAATATCACTCCACAATGTTTCGATTTCATGAAGTTGACAGGAAATATTGACCTCAGGAAAATATTCCACCGATTGAACAGGCAAATCGGTAATGGGATCAGAGGTCTTTCCGGGCATTACTAAAAGTTGGTTAGCCATGGAACGTAAACGATTGAGGTCAACGTCTCGACTCTTGATACACTCAAGGTAATTCTAAAAATCAAAAATGACATCACTGTATATGAACATCTTGATTCATACAGCTTTTTATTTTTCCAAACTAAATCAAGTATCGTTGTAGACTATGAGGGGGTGTGTGTAACAAAACCTAGCAGCCTCTTCAGCTTATATAGATCCACAGATATATCGACTGGTGTTTGCATGACTTTACCCAGACAGTTCTTTAAAAATACTTATGACTGAATACCTATGACTTAAACGCTCCATATTAAATAAATAAGAAATACATTTAGGGTGCACTTTGAAAAGCAATAAAATACATTGCCGGTAGTGCCATATGAGAGAAAACAGAATTTCACCGGTGAGAACATTTCTGAATCTCGTCTTTGAGTACTTTTCAAGCCTTATCATGATATCCTATTGTTTATGTTTTAGTTCAGTCGAACATTACGAGTAATCACCTACATTTTAAGTTAGTTCTTACATCACAAGCCTACGCTATTACAGTAAATCACATGACAATCCAACCTGACAAAAACGGCATTTTTCATAACTTCGGCGACCATATCTTACATTAGGTGACACTGGCCGGTTACAAGTCCATGGTGTAGCTAAATCCAAACGCATGACGTGGGGCTAAGGTAGAATTTCTAAACACTTGATTGACCACAATGGTAGCAATTTATTCACCCTTTAAATTCCATGTGGTATGGAAACCTAAACTGATTTATGTACGTACGAAGTTTAACGTTGTAGCTGACTGACTGACTTTAAGTTCCCATAGATATTGAGTCACAGAACTGTCAGTTGCGCGACGCAAAGCTTTTAGCATATGTACAACCTATTTGCACAATGAGATCTTATGATCAAACCGAATCCCAGAGTAGTAGAGATAACAATACTGCCAGTGGTGACAGAAAAGCTTAGACTTCGGGGGTACAAAAAATTATGCAAAGTTAGAAGCTTATGATCTGAAGGAAAACAGAATATGGATTCACCTGGGCTACGTCACATACGTCAGTCAGTTAGAAACAACGTAGAACTTGGTACGTACATACATCAGTTCAGATTGCCACACCAAATCAGCACACAGAGAGAATTGCTAATTCAAATCCGATAGTGATAGAGGCAGAGGAAGTATCTGTGATAATGGAAAGAAATACGGACCGAAAATATGATTCAAGAAGTACAACCCAGCGAAACAAATTTAAAAGATTAGAATTTGAGAAAAGACAAACAATGGACGCACCTGAACCATCGCAGGCGATTTTGAGCTGTTACCCAAAGTCAGTTACCATTGGTTACGGTTGAATAATCTCCAGCATTAACGGAACGAGGTCACAAACGTATACGAGAACGGTTGTTTGTGGAGAGTTAAAGAGGTGAAGGAAGGATGGTGAACAAATCAATCTCGTGAGGTGTTAGGGAGATAGATGGAAATATCACTTCCCGGTTGCCCAAACCGTGGAAAGATATTTCTTGAGGGGCCTGGAAAGGAGATTAGATCAGAACTGATCTACGCGACCTGGGAGCGTGACCGCTGAGAACAATGGACAACTGCTTCAAGTAGGTCGCGTACGGTCTTTTTAAGGGAAGTTTTTAACGTGTTCGTTCCGCTCTTCGAAAAGCCTTACCGCATGAGACGGATGTCCATAGGGAAGAGTGAGGTGTGGCAGTTTTAGGGTTGACTTTTACTAACCTCATCCTTACTTTGTGAGGAGGCAGAGTTGCTGAAGATATCAGTTGTCCGAAGGAAAAACCTTGTTGTTCCACACTCCACCACAATCAACATTAAGGCAATCTCCCTCAGAGCTTAAGCCACTGCCTTTAGTCTTACCGTTCTCCAATCGACCTGCCTGGTATGATAGAATCTAAAGGTCATTTATTTCAGTTAATACAGCCCGGCTGATTCATCACAATAGGCAAGCCCGACCACCACTTCAAGGTTGCTGCTACGGTTGGGATCATGGATATAATACCTAGTAAAAAGTAGAACTTATTAATGTCTGCTTTCATTTATTGATCCGGATGAAAAATAAGAGCATCCATATTGTTTAGCTCTAACCAGAACAAACAAGGAAGCCACATCTATTGGAAATAACATTTTAGGTTCTACAAAATTAAGTAATGATGCAAAGGACTAAACGTTTGGTCTATTATAAACAAGACGTTTCGAGAAAACTCAATTTTGAAACTGCCTGGAGGGTTATTTCACGATACATTAAAAGAAAGTTACGTTTCAACTTATTTGATTACCTGATTCATATAAGCTTCTGAACGACTGAGACAGTTCACATCTCTTGTAGAAGCAAGTGTACGAACTCTCAAAAGCCATTTCTTCAATTCCTCGGACAGCAAGCAGAACTGAGCGAACAGTTTGGTTGAGGCATATACTGTTATATTTTTAGGTAAATGATTTATATTCGGAAAACTCTGAAATAGTGGTTAACAAAAATATAATTACTTCATCAATTAGAGCATAGCACTCGTCACGAAGATCAGAGAACGATTGCGTTAACAATAACGGGACTTGCTTATCCAAAGCTACTGACATGTTCAGTAGTGATTAAACGTTTATGGATAGTTTGGCTGAAGTTTTAACAACCATAAGTATGCTCAAATTACTTCAATATTAGTATAAATACAAATATTACCAAAAAGTATGCTAATAGTTCAGTGACAACCTGGCATTCAAATAAGTCGCGAAGAACTCATGAAGAACATTCCCGCGTTGGCAATGTGAAACTGACTGACTGGTCTACAGCCGTTAAGTAACGCGCTGGAAGCAAGGACTCCTGATTTCGTGCTTTATCCAATAACCAATGCCTTCTTAACATGCTAGTATAAACCACTTCATATTTTAGCACTCGTTTATTGTTCGTTTTGTATGGTTCCAGTTATGTGTCGATATCCAATAGATAGCAGTCTAGCCACTCAACTGCATTAACTCTAATCAGATGTCAGTGAATTGATATGTCACGTGGCTTGAGTGGGCGTTTTTGTCTTAGGGCAGTAAAGATTCTGGATACCAGCAGCTATCATATTACCAGGCCGAAATCAGCTGGTTTTATTGTGGGGAACAATAAGGAGAGAATTCTGTTACTAATGAGATTTCGGGATCAACTAAAAAAGTAACTTGATTATTTGGTAGTAAAGATTGTGTGGAATGTATGTGCGAAGAAGAGGAAACAGAGATAATAAGTGAGATAGAATAGGTTAATGATCTGAGCAAATGACAGTGTCAACAACGAGCAAGTTTTTAGACATTAGCCATGCACAGCTGGTTCAAGCGGGATATAATAATCACTATGTTAGTTCTTGTTTATCAGGTCTTTTCTTGAAGCTGGAGTGGTTTTTTTTCACGAGGAAAACACAGTTGCTGAAATATAAACACTCATTATCGTACTTAATTCTGACAATGATTGTTATATTGTACACCTCTTGTTTATCTGTACTAAAGACTATCTCTCGCGCCCCATGCGTGCCTTTGACTGTCGGCATCCTTTTTAGCTTGTTGTTAGACGCTCATGTACTCTAGTCTCGTGATTATTTCGATATCACAAGGTTAGCCTTAAATATACTTCTTCCTCTAGAATCTCATTTGTTTTCTGATCACTAGAGTAACAGGACTAACACTTGTTATCCCGCGAAGTGGTATGTTTAAGAAGTAACACGACAAAGCTATGCACTGAGAGGACTGTGGTCACTTAGGCTGAGAGAGCATTCCAAGTTGAGATAACTCATAATGAGATAGTGAGGGCGCATATCTGGGTTTTTGCTTTTTGATATGCGATTTTTTGAGGACCGTGGTGATGGTGTTTTGACTAAACGCTCAGGTTGGAGTGATTCGGCATACTTAAAAAGTTGAATGCCGTTACCAAATCATCCCCGATTCTCCTATAACTCATTATGGACAATTCCAAGTTTGAGAGTCTATTTTCGTATGCCATATTCCCTAAGCTTGCTCTTTTCTGCACCTGACCCAGGAGATTGATGTCTCCTTTTAGGAGAGGGGGCGCGAGGACTTTGTGAAATTTAAAGCGTGGCTGTGAGTGCTGTAAAAAGAGTTAGGAACAATTCAGGGCTGATAGCATCGAGTCGTCTTCACATAAAGTAAGGAGTTTCTTTAGCCTTGGATGTATCCTTCGTGCATTTTGAAGTGGTGTTATGGTTGTCTGTGGTTATTAGACAGAGACGGCACTCTAACCACTTTCACTGATGTTGTAAGTTGTTTGCATCGCGTGAGGTAGCAGGTTCATGGCGTGATATTTAAACTGGTAAATGTTAATCGCGTTATTTACTGCCATTCTTCAATTGCTGTAATGTCCTTTCGATGCCGATTCTAATCCTCTTCGCTTCTCACGAATTTCCAGATCTTTGTGTCTCATGCTAAGATTTTTGCCCCGGAAGTAAGTTTTCCAAAAATTCGTTGTTTAATTTTGTCAGCTTAATGATCATAAGTGTGCATAAGCATACTAGAACCATGGAAAGGGGTGACTTGGCATCAACACACAGTAGTGTCTAGATACTGCAGGATCATAGTGACTGTGGACATATCTACTGAAGAAGTGACATTCAAATTCAGAGTCGCAGATCTTAACTGGCGGCGAGCAGGACGCACGATTATCATCGTTGTATTCTTTGAGAACGGCAGGCTGAATAGTGGAAGTTTTAGGACGACTTTTCATCCTTTTTCGTTTTTGCCTACTAGTCATGCTAGGGGTAGGAATCTGGAAGTGATTGTCTCTCTGGTTTCTTCGTTGGAGACCCAGTATAGGTGATTAGGCTGGGTGATCTGAGTTATACACATTACTCTGAGGTTAACTATCGAGCGACGTCTTCAGCTGCCTCGTAGTCCTGTTGTTGGAAAGTGGAATTTCCGACTGACTACTGACCCCAGAATTCAGACAGTTACTAGTTTTCCTTGTTGTTGCATTTTAAGAACTGGTGGCAACGCAATCACTGTACATGTTACTCAATCGACTGACGAGTGAACTGAGAGATAAATTGTATAGGCTATTACAAAATATATTGGTTTTGTGGTAATGAATTTGATAATACCAAAATGAATCAATACGGAAGAATATAAATTTTAAGACACACGAAATTTCAACTTTATCTCTGACTGTCCCAGTAAGCAACTTCATGTGGATGTATTACCTTTTCCACACTTCCGATGTTTGTACGTTTGCGAATGTGTGTATCCTTCCATCTTTTCGAGACAGCTGCAGCTACCACAAAATAGTTGCATTTTGATAGTATTACGTTGTAGAATTCTTTTTGAATGTTTTGTTTTTTGGAAAATCCCTCCATGTTTACATAATTTTGCTATGACATGATGGACTTTTTCTCTTGACATTTTTGGTATTTTATTTGATTCCAATTTGAGATTTTATCATTGTATGTTGTTATTCTTTCTATATTTGTACTTATATTGAAGTTTTTGTGTTTGCTTCTGAATTGTACATATATTGTTTAAATTTGATATAATATGGCTACCGCCACATTTTCGGACGGACGCAGTGGCTGCTGGACTTAGCTTCACTTATCGGCTATTGTGTTGGATACTCTGCGGAGTAATTTAACCCTGGAAGAAACACAAATTCCGTAAGACTTTGTATTTCCATTTTATAATAATATAGAGACGTTTTCTCCTAGAATTTTGCCCTTTTTGATTTGGTCGGGACCCGGAACTAGGAAAAACGTACAGGAGTGCTTCTATTGGAAACAATTGGGACAGCCACTGTCGAAATAAATCTACAGTCTGGAATTTCTTCTTTCGTGGATTATACTTTGGAAATATTCATCTGAACGTATATATTTTGGAACTATTCGGATTATTAAGAATTATAAAGAAACATTTGGAATTTTAATCGTTTATCACACTAGACTTCCGTGGAGGAAGAAGTTGGATTATATATCGTAATTTTGAACTGAACTGTGGAATTACTATATTTTGTATTGTTACCTTTTCTACTGAACTTTATTTATGATGTCAAACGGAAAAAAATCACACATGAGGACGGTGGAAGAGCTCGACGGATCACAGGGCTCTAGGCAAGTCGTTAATGATAACTTTTTTATGGGTAACCCACATGCTATGTCTGATATTTATTATTGTAAGTCATCGATAGAGGGTTTAGAACTACCTAAGGTTGAACTGTCATTTTTTGATGGAAGGTCTCGCGACTATTTTAGGTTCATACGACAAATAGAGACGTTTATAGAACCTCGAATAAAGGATGATCAAGTACGTTTATTGTATTTAATTCATTATTGTAAGGGAAAAGCAAAAAATGCGATTGAAGGCTGTATTATTATGGATCCACAATCAGGATATAAGAGAGCTAAGGCCATCTTAAAACAGCTCTTTGGACAGTCGCATGTAATAGCCCGGGAAACCTTAGAGGACTTATTTAGAACTGGGAATGTAGAATTTAATGATCCTGAATCATTGACGAACTTGGCTATTAAAATGCAGAATGCTGCTTTAACTTTAGAACAGCTCAATTGCACAACGGAACTTAACTCTATGGCTACTTTAGAACGAATAGTAAGGCTCTTACCTCGTCGAATGCAAGCCCAGTGGGCAGAGCTAGTATTCAAGTGGGACGAAGAGGAGAGAGAGCCCAATTTTAACGAATTGACGGAATTTATTATGTCTCGTGCTAAGATAGCTAGTAGTAGGTTTGGAAGATTAGCTTATCAGGCTAAAACAGGAAATAATACGGAAGCTACTAGCGGTCTGCGTGCGAGACATTCGGATTCTTCGTTTCTACCTAAAGCACGCTCGGAAGATAAGAGATTTGTCAATTATATCACGAAAGCATACGCTGATGAAGGACGAGTATGTGACCGTAACGATGTAAAGCCTCTTGATGCGTGTCCTAGCAAGAAGCCGGTTGGTGTAACAGATAAGATGGCTTTTCTAAGTGTAGAAAAGAAAGAAAAAGGCGAAAAGTGTAGGCATCAAGATGGATCCGAAGTGTGTGATGATAAAAGCCTCTTAGCTGCTCGAAAAGCCTGGAATGGTTATTTGGATTCGAGTAATCAGAGGTTAATGAGTTCAGCAAATATGAATAAGACCCAGGCAGGATTGTCTGAACGGAATAAAGCTTATTTTCGGAACCCTTCAGTTAGGGTAAATTATATAACTGGACCTAGAGTAGATTCTAGGATAAGTGATGGTGGTACAGTAACGGTTAAGAAGCCTAGGAGACATGATGCTACTATTACTAAGAAGCCTGGACCTCATGCTCTTTCGGATGCTACGACTAGCCATGGAAATAGTAGCCATCAGAACCTTAGTAGTGACAGTGATAATAAGGATATAGAAAGTGTCAGCAGTTCACTTATAGGGACTAGTTTATCAACTTCATTGAATGAGCCTCCTAGTGTTTCGACGCCATCGGTCCTCGTCACGAAGGTTAAGTTGATTGAAGATGCACAAGGTTGTGCAACTGTAACTGTTCCTATTCCGGTTGACTGTCAGTCGAGTGATGATGAGAAGAAAGTGTTCGATGGTAACAGCCAGTCTACAGTGCTGTGTGATGACGATGCTATTGTTGAGCATATGTCTTGTGCCGCGGAAACGGATGCTAATGCAGAACGGAATCATTTAGACTTTGATAATAAACTGGATGTCACTGATGTGACAAATAAGTTACCGACGATGATGAATACTGTTCAAACCTCCTCTGCATCAGGAGATGGAAGGATAAATATTGATCCTACGTCATGCTACTTAAAGTCTTCTGGAGACGATGAAATGTCAAAATTGGAAATCCCACCCTTGCATATTATTTATGTGTCAAAAACTTCTGTTGATAAGTTAGCATCACGGACTTCATGGTATCTGCTGATCGGAGCAAGTGGTGGTGGATTGGCGACTCGTCCCCACGATAGAGAATGTTGTCCTTGGATAGGATATGACCAGGTTTGCGACGCGTTGTTCATGTTCGTGTGGGTTAATTGGGTAAGGTTTATACTACCGTTAGGTCATTCCACGATAGATAGGGGAATCAAGGGCCTGATGGGAAAGTATAGGTACCTAGTTAACACGATAGGTCATATCCATGTTGGATGGCGGGTAGGCGTACTGCTGTAAGTCCTACACGTTATTCCGGTGTGGATTAGGGGATAATGGGGAACCCTAAATAAAGTGTCATTAACGCTTGCTCTTTTTGCATGGAGGGATTTTGCGGGCCGGTGTAGAATTCTTTTTGAATGTTTTGTTTTTTGGAAAATCCCTCCATGTTTACATAATTTTGCTATGACATGATGGACTTTTTCTCTTGACATTTTTGGTATTTTATTTGATTCCAATTTGAGATTTTATCATTGTATGTTGTTATTCTTTCTATATTTGTACTTATATTGAAGTTTTTGTGTTTGCTTCTGAATTGTACATATATTGTTTAAATTTGATATAATATGGCTACCGCCACATTTTCGGACGGACGCAGTGGCTGCTGGACTTAGCTTCACTTATCGGCTATTGTGTTGGATACTCTGCGGAGTAATTTAACCCTGGAAGAAACACAAATTCCGTAAGACTTTGTATTTCCATTTTATAATAATATAGAGATGTTTTCTCCTAGAATTTTGCCCTTTTTGATTTGGTCGGGACCCGGAACTAGGAAAAACGTACAGGAGTGTTTCTATTGGAAACAATTGGGACAGCCACTGTCGAAATAAATCTACATACGTATATTCGACTTTTTAATTCAGCGGTCTATCACTGAATGGATTCAAAGTATATATATTCGGGAATTTCTGACTGTAGTGGAGTACTTTTACGAGGAGAATGCAGTTGGCGAAACGGAAACATTTATTATTGTACTCAATTGTAACAATAATTGTTTTACTGTACTCCTTCTGTTTAGCTGTACGAAAAACATATTTACGTTCGACTTTATGTTTGTGTTGCTGCCATCATTAGTTACATGCTGCTCTTCATGTCGCCCATTTTCTCCTCCAGATATATCCTTTACCCTGGATTTACTTTTGATTACTTTCATGGGCTAGTTATAAGTGTTTAGTGGTGATCATGGTCAATCTCGACTCGATCACTGCTAAATGTCTCAATCCTATATCCGAAGTTAGACTGTTTCCTGTTGATGATTAGAGGTCAACGAGGACACGTAAATTACGAAGAGCAAGTTCATGATATAAATTTCGTGCAGAAAACATCAGAATGATATTTCAAAACTCATTTGAACTTTGAAGGACTACCTAGTGATAAACAATTTCGCGCTGTTCTGTTAGGCGTGTAATATTTTTTTCGGAGCGGATAGTCAGGTTTGTGGCGGTGCATCAGTTCGAATTTTAGTTTCTTTTAGATGAATTGTAGGTAGGTAGGCCAGTGTTAATTCTTTCAGACTATTTTCCTATAATTGACCACTTGATGTAAAAAAGGGAATCCTTCTGTGGGCTTGTTAGAACGTGGTTTTGAACCTTTTTGCAGCTGCTTCTGAAGTGATTAGTTCTGGATGAAGCAAAACGATAAGACACCCGAATCGTTGTTCAGGTGGAGAAATACAAGAATAAGATCACCACAAATTCTAAAATTAGGCGCAATGAAAAGGCTTAGGACTTTAAAGCACTCATCGCAAGGAAGTAAGGAAAGATCCGTCACAGACTTAATCCCGACACTCAGTACACGTTCGAATGCAGTAACATCGGAATCCAAACGTGGTTCGTCTGCCTAGCTGAAAGACTGAGATAAGGCCTGACGTTGATGAGGTTTAAACCCGAAAGTGCTCTCGCAAATGCACTTAAAATAATAGTAACACGTATTCTCAAATAACAAAGTGTTTCGTCAGGCAAGCCAGTTTACAGGCAAGATCAAATTCTTAAACATGATAACACATTTATTGTGATATGTTGTGATAGATAGATACTTTTGAAGAAACGGTGACCATTATCTTAGAGAGGTTGTATATTTCACATAAATTTGTAAACGATATTTACGAGACTGAAATGTGTGCATCTAATCTTCTCATCGCATGGGACAGTTGGACATCCTGCTTGGACCGTAAAATACCAGTGCACGTAGTATTTCTCGACTTCGCAAAAGCCTTTGACACAGTGCCCCACGCACGCCTAATCGAAAAGGTTGTGGAAATGGGCTGCACTGACCCACTCGTATCTTGGCTCAGAAACTACCTTGAGAATAGAAAGTTTTGCACCAAGCTAAACAGGGTGCACGCGAGTTGGAGAGTATCCACTTCAGGAGTTTCACAGGGGACCATCCTAGGCCCACTCCTCTTCCTGATATTCATTAACGACCTTCTAAGCTTAGTTAGCTCACCGGCACTGATCTACGCAGACGATGCGAAGATCTGGAGGTCCATTAGAAGCGAAGAGGATTCGACTGAGCTTCAAAAGGACCTTACATCCATTGAGAAATGGGCAGTAAAAAACGGTTTAAAACTCAACCAACCGAAGTGCCACGTCATGCATTTCCTGCCTCATATGACGCAAACCATCTACACTCTCAATGGAAGTCCGCTCCCTAATGTCTCCTCAGAGCGCGATCTTGGTTTAATAACCACAGAAAGCCTCCACACGAGTCCGAACTATGTAGGGGATGCAGCCAAGGCAAATGCGACTCTTCACTTTATGCGAAGACAGCTTGGTGCTATAACCCCGAAATTATTTTTAACCCTGTTTAAGACGTACGCGCGCCCACACTTGGAGGTTCACAATGTCATCGCACCCCCTCTGCTTAAAAGAGACATAAATCTCTTGGATCGAGTACAAAGACGAGCGACCAAATGGGTGATAGGGTTGAAAAATAAACCGTACGACGATAGACTCCAGCTCTTGGGATTATTCCCACTGAGCTACAGGAGAATCAGAGGTGACCTGATTATGGCGTACACCATATTAAACACGCCAAACCATCTCAATGTGAGCATCTTACCAATGCATCACCACCACTCCCCTCGAAGCAATCCTCGAAAGATTGCACATCAAAGAGCCCATACTCAGATTCGTGCACACTTTTTCTCATTGTGAGTCGTCGCAACTTGGAATGCTCTCCCAGCCGAGGTAGTTACAGCCCCCTCGGTGGACTGCTTTGAGAAGAGACTTGATAATCACGTACTCACATGCGGACTATCATCTCACTCTTGGACAAGCTGTGCCTGATGCATATCTTGAGACCTGCTAGTTGTTACCATTGCCATCTCCTCAGATCACTTAATTAATCTATCTCGCCTATTCCTCTCCCTTGCTTGCATTTCGGTCCTCTCTCACAATCTTCACTACCAATTAATAAACTAAATTCATCTATACATTACTCAGTTCTGAAATTTTACTCATATTATCATTTTAATTTATCCTTATTACCCTTATTACTCTCCACATTGCAACTAACTGATCTCCGGTTTGGTAATGTGACGGCTGCTAGTATCCAGAAACCCTACTGCCCTGAAACAAACGTTTCATTCAAATCCCGAGACATACAAACTCACAACCAACTGCCAACTGACTAGAATTAGACAGTCGAGTGGCTAGACCTCCATCCAATGGACATTACCGAACACCTGGAACCGTAGCGAAAGAACAAGAATAGAGCGCGAAGAAATCAAATTGGTTTACACTAGCTCGTGAAAAAGATATTGGATATTGGATATTGGAAAACAAGGCGCGAATTATATCTGTTGCGTTGCGATGAACTACTGGTGGTCAGTAAGTTCACGAGGTTGTGTCTGGGCCTGTATATAACGAGGATTGATGAGGTGAGTGCTAGTCGGTCTTCCTGATGCCATCTTCCAGACAAAAGATTGACGGACTTCTGAGGAAAACCATTTTAAGTTTCTGGGAATAGCGTAGGACGATGTGATGTTCTACATCTGCTTTTATTAGTGTATCATAACGGTTCTGAACTGAAGGATAAATGCTCAAAAAACAGAAAATAACTTTAGTCGCAGTTTAGTCAAGACTCAGGAGATTTAATTGTGAATAAAACGTCAAGGTGTGATTACATGGACTTTTCTTTTTCTCCTTTAAGCTCAATTGTTGCTCAACTGCATTGATGTAGGGTTATAAAGACTAGTCACTGGTAAAGCGACGAATATGCAGATGGTTGTTTGAATAGAGGACACTCAAAGGAACTAACTTGTTAAAAGTCGTGTAGTTCTTCCAAATGTAATGAGGAAGGCACTGTGATTTGATGCCATAGTGATGTGTCACTTATTATTATTTTTTCTTTCTCATGTTACTGAGGAAGTCGCAAGCAAACGACATTTCAACGCACTTTCTCGAGTCATCCCGCAATTGGATATCTTGGTGGTGAGTGAGCCAAGTTATAGTTACAAACATGAGTTGAAGGCGTATTTAACGTGGAAAAATAGCATCAGTATCAGCGATTAGTTACATCCTACTTTATCATAAGGAGCCTTAAGCAAACAAAATGTTCTGTTTCATACACGAGTGGGATATAGGTTATCACCCCACCACAATAGCTACTGGTTAGATACGCCACCATCCCTCCTTTTGTGATGTTAGGATCTTTTACGTTTGAGGTGCGTTTTACTCTAAGCTCCGTATTACACACATTTCTTAATTAACTGCCTCTAGTGGTTCCATTTGACATGCAAATGGAACAGCCTAAGCTTCTAACTGTTGAGATATATTTCCAATTTACATGTCGCGCTGTTATTAAGTTAACTAATGGTGTAAGTTATAGGATTCAGATCAGTTAGTAGGTAGTTCGAAAATTCTAGGAATAAAAAGCTGATCAAAGAACATCAAGTGTTTGAAATTCGTAAGGCGATGATTAACTAAAAACAATACATTTGGATGCTAACAAGCAGTGGATATTAAAATTCCGTAAACTGGTAATACGGGAATTGGGAAGAAGTCACAGTGATTCAGGATAGTTTGGGTTTTTTGTGATCAACGATAAATGGGCAGCATCTACGAGCTTTGAAACGTGTGTGTACTTACAATAGAAACTAAAAGTGATATAAAAGTTTGTGGGAGAAAATCATACGACTCAACATATTAAGGAAACTCCGAACATTATGGATAGGAGCATAAAGGCATGACCTACTACTGCTAGTAGTAGTAGGAGAATCATGTGTCTACCATTTGGTGATATTTGCATGAAAGGCTATGGGTTGCAAACAATTGTTAGTCTGTTAATAGTTTCTAAGGTCAGTCTAAATATTAGGTGTACCATCAACAAGTGCCTTGAGATTTGGTGTGGGTTCTGGAAATGCTACATAAATCGTCTTAGATACTAACAACAGCTTTAATAGTTTCTTCACTACAGTGATCGTGTCACAGATATGGATAAAAATTGGAAGTCTGTTCCACAATAAACTACCGTATTGCAAAGAAATTTCGACTCAATGACTTTGTGTTTAGTAATGTATATGCGTTCTTCCTAAGTAGGTAAGTCAGTCAGATGCGATGTAGAACTTCGTACGTAAGTACATCAGTTCATGTCGCCACACCACATCAGCACAGAGATGTAATTGTCAATTCAAATCCAATAGTAGAAGTAGTAGTAAACATATTATTCAAGAAGTATGATTGAATGAGAAAAGTTTAGAAAGTCAAAACTAGAGGTGTTGAAGAACCCAGAAGATTAGGATTTGAGAGAACACAAAGAATAAATGCACCGGCGCCATCGCGAACGATTTTGAGCCATGTCATTCAAGGTCTCTAACCATCGATTATTATCATCTCGCGGACCCCAACCAGGTAGCCTACATCTACCAACATGGCTCAGTCCACTTGTCAGTGACTTCATGGATTTGTGCCATGTTTTGGTTTGGCCGCCCCTAACTTTCTTCCAACCTATTCCTACACCACAAAACAAAGCTCAACGAGGCAGTCGGTGGTTAGCCATACGCAACACATTTCCCAACCACTTCAACTGATGAAGTGTCACTACTGCGTCTATTGATCTGCCATTCTTACCTAGCACCTGATTCCTTATAACAGCGTTGCTCACTCGGGCGTTCCACGATATACGAGCAATGCTTCTAAGACTTTAGTGATCAAAGACTAGTAACCTAGGGAAGTCCTCTACTCTAAACGGCCATGTTTCGCATCCGTATAGAAGGACGGAGCGAACTGCTGCACAGTACACTCGTCCTTTGGTTAGCGAGCGTATATCTCGCCTGCGCCATTGGTGACGCAGGTTGGCAAAAGCCAATCGAGCCTTCTGTATCCAAGCTGAGATTTTGTCAGTCACCAGGCCATCAACGCTGATGAGACTCCCAACATAAGTGAAGCGGTCTACACGTTTGACTACTTCACTCCCTATCACTAGTTCAGGTGCCGATGAAACCCAATCTTGAAGTAACATTTTGCATTTCGAGGGTGAGAACCGCATACCGAACATACTTGCATTGTTGCTTAGGGTGGTCAGAAGACTCTGCATTTTGTCAGCGTCTTCACCAAGTAGGACTATGTCATCGGCATATTCTAAGTCGATAAGCGAGCCTCCTGGTAATAGGTCTACTCCTGAAAATTCAGACGACGATAAGGTTATTTCTAGGAGCATGTCTATGATAAAATTAAACAAGAATGGAGAGAGTGGACATCCCTGACGGACACCACTTGAAGTAAAGAATTCCGTTGACAGTTCGCCATAAGCTCTCACTCGACCAGTGATGTTCGAGTAGAGAGCTTGTATGAGGTTAATGTACTTCTTTGGTACATCTTTCAATGACAGACACTGCCACAAAACCTCACGATCTACCGAGTCAAATGCCGCTTTTAGGTCCAGGAAAACAACCATTGTAGGACGCCTAAATGTGTGTCTATGTTCCAGGACCTGTCGTAGTGTGAATATGTGGTCCATACAGCCACGTCCAGGTCGAAAACCAGCCTGGTTTTCTCGAGTTTGCTCTTCACGAGCTTTCGTTAAGCGTCGAAGTATTATTGAGGCCAATATTTTAGATACTATATTAGTTAAACTTATTCCTCTGTGATTGTCACAAGAAGACTTTTGTCCTTTCTTATAGATTGGGACAACCAGTGATTGAGACCAGTCAGATGGGATTACGTCCAGTTCCCAGATCCTACCTAAGATCTCAGTCAACCTAGCTGCTAAAACTGGACCACCATTTCAGGGGTCAGTCTATCAGGACCTGCAGCTCGTCCTCGCTTCAGATTTCCTAACGCTTTCTCAACTTCGTAAAGACTAGGGGGACTTAGGTCGATTTGCCACTCAGGATGACTGGAGATCGTGGGTAACCGAAGAGTGTCTCGAGGCTAGTTGAACTGATCCCTAAAGTGTTCTGCTCATCGATCCAGTTTCCTGGATTGAGAATAAATAATAGTCCCATCATTTTCCGAGATTGTCTCACTTACACTAGGATTCCTAATACCAGTTTCCTTGATATTTCGAAAAGTTGTCTACTGTTGCCTATCGCCGCTGCCTTTTCCATCGCCTTTACTTTCGCCACCCACCACTGTTCACGGTCGTTGCGCAGGATTTTTATCAGCCTGCGCTTAAGCTGACTTCGTTCCTCATTATGTTCAGAGCCAGGTGGGATGAGTTTTCGAGCATCCATCAGTTCGGTTGATGCTACAATGATCCATGGCTTCATTCTAGCCTTATGGTCAACCTTATGGTTAACCTTACTAGCAGATATCACTGCTGTTTCCACAGCCTTTTTGATATCATTCCAACCTGCTTCCGGATGGGAATCGCTTAAATGGTCGCCTGTCTTTCTAGTTGTTCCTGAAATATATTCTTCGCCTTATTATCACTAAGTAAAATCCTAAGAGGCTTTCTTACGGTGTCTTTCCTACGCCCAGTAAGCTTCAAACAAATACGCGCTCGCACTAGGGCATGATCTGAATCTGAGTAGGTAAGCAATGTCATGATTCATAATTGGACGGGAGTTCACAGACGAGAGGCCGTATATCATTTTGTAGAAAATGTTTGATTGTTCTTTAATCGACGGCGCAATGAAGGTTGAGGATGAAGATATTTGCATCGTTCTGTGTAGTCGAGAGTATTTTTACATCCTGGCATTCGCCATGTGAAGCTTCCCCAGACATCTTCCACTCGTATCTTTTTTTAAGGTTAATGTACTTCTATGATACTCCTTTGAGTGACAGACACTGCCACAGAACCTCACGATCGGACAATATTTTGGATACTATATTAGTGAAACTGGTTCCTCTGTGATTGTCACAAGAGGACTTTTGTCCTTTTTATAAACTGGGACAATCTGATTGAGACCAGTCAGATGGGATTACGTCGGGTTCCCAAATTCTACCTAAGATCTCGTTCAATCTAGCTGTTAAAACTGGACCACCATCCTTAAAGATCTCAGGGGAAGCTTATCAGGCCCTGCGGCTCTCCCTCGCTTCAGATTTCCTATAGCTTTTTCAACTTCATACAGACTCGAAGAACTTATATCGATTTGCCACTCAGGTTGACTGGAGATCGTGGGCAACTGAAGTGTTATGCCCATCGATCCAGTTTCCTGCGTTAAGAATGAATGATACGGTCATCCTTTTCTGAGGTAGTTTCGCTTACTGATGGATTCCTACAACCAGTTTACTTGTTAAAGGGGAATAGTACATGTTTGCATTGTTGCTCAGAGTAGTCAGAAAATTCTGCATTTTTTCAGCGTCTTCACCAAGTAGGACAATGTCATCGGCATATACTAGGTCAGTAAGCGATTTCCCTGGTAGGTCAACCCGTGAAAGATCTAACGACCTAAATGTTAAGTCGAAGTGGATGTCTACGATAAAGTTAAAAAAGAATGGAGAGAGTGGACATCCCTGACGGACACCACTGGATTTAGAGTATTCAGATGACAGTTTGCCATAAGCTCTCACCCGACCAGTGATGTTCGAGTAGAGAGCTTTCATAAGGTTAATGTAATTCTTTGGTACATCTTTCAATGACAGACACTGCCACAAAACCTCACGATCCACAGAGTCAAATGCCTGTCGTAGTGTCAAGATGTGGTCTATGCATCCACGTCGAAGTCTGATACCAGACTGGTTTTCTCGAGTCTGCTCTTCACGAGCTCTATTTAGACGTCTAAGTATAATCGAGGCTAACAGTTTAGAAACTATATTAGTTAGACTTATTTCCCCGTGACTGTCACAAAAGGAATTTTGTCCTTTCTTGTAGATTGGGACAATGAGCGACTGAGACCAGTCAGATGGGATTACGTCCAGTTCCCAGATTCTACCTAGGATCTCAGTCAGTTTAATTGTTAAAACTGGACCACCATCCTTAAACATCTCAGGCGTTAGTCTATCAGGACCTGAAGATCGCCGTTCTGCAGCGTCTTAGACAACATAACCTAAAAGTAAAACCGCGACGGTTTTACCCTTGTGATTTGTTGCATGATCTTATCCGCCCTTCAGTGACTGCTGATTTCACGTGTTACAAAGTTAAAGAGTTTTAGAACATCAGACATTAACCTCTAGTTATATGTTTGCATTGTTAAAATCTTTGTGTAATAGTTAAAGCACTTGTGTAGCATATTCCAACACTATTCCATTCGTTTGATTTTGAGAACCAGATAGTATCAATAGCTATTTCATTTGAATTTCATATCACAGCCAAACACAATCATTCATGGTTACTAATATAAATTGAATTAAGCTAAACCTCACTTCAGTCACAAGTCAATAGATATAAAGTTGGTTTAAGGAACTTATAAATACTATTTTACTAATTACTTTGTTTGCTGCTAATCACATAATTGTCTCACCAGTATATATTTTTGAATATGTTGGTTTCCTTTCTTCTGTCTACAAACTAAAAAGAACGCCGAATGGTTGTTTGTATTTAAAAACCAGATACTAGAAGAGGAATGCTGATGTCTAATGAACTGGTTTTTTTGGGCGATTTCACCAGTGAAGTGAAAATAAGGAGCATTGAGTGAAGATAAACTAGATTTTCACAAGTTACTTGGTAGGAAACTCGACAGTGAAAGGATTTTACATTGTAAGGAGCTAAAAGAGGTTTACTGCCGTTTGTTACATAAAAAAATATCCATTCATAGTAGATTGTCATATATTGTTTTACGGCCCGAATAATAAATGAATCAATTCGTCGGATTTTGAAAGTACTTCATAAGTAAATACTAAACTGGTTATTTCTTATGGTTGACGCCCGTCAGAAGTCGGAAGAGTTACTATGGTATACTACCACGTATACTACGTGGTCACGTTTAACTGGTGTAACATTCCTTTCCTGATTATATTCATTGATTATACATTTTAATTGGGATACTTTAACCTAAGTTTATTGAAGGTCAAAATAAGCGCTCGTCGGCGATTTATTATTTATTTGACTAGCTGCATGCAATACTGAAGACTGGCTATGTTCAAGTATTCATGTTCTCGGTTATGTATACTGGTTTATTTGCTTCATTCCTATTAATTTTGACTGCTAATAACAATTTGCATCAACTTCATAAAACGAGTTGTTACTTGTATCTTTTTTGTTAAATCTTATGATTTCAACCAATAGTGCCAGCTAAATGTTGAAGTGAACAATCACGATTCACCCTCCAGTACATATTCACTGTGTTGTTCAGAATCAGGATTTTCAAGTGATGCTGACCACTTTCTAACTTGTCAAGCAACAGATCAATTCGATTTATCTAATCCTAATTTTGTGATTTCAAATTTATTTAATACGAAGTTCCAAAATGCAAAATCCTTTTCTTCCGTAAACCATTATATTCGTTCTCAATCCTCAAGCTGTCTATGGACTTCCAGTACAGGTAATTTTTTATTTAAGAAATATATAATTTGGAATGTATTATTGATAACTTAGACGGTTGGGCATCATTTGTACTGCTCAACAGTTAATATCTACAATCATGTTAAAATGTAGTAAATGTGTAGGGAAAACAATTTCATCCATTTAAAGTTAAGTGAATCAGGTTTAGGTCCAGAATTAGTTCATTTTAAACAACTACATTGTCTAAAACAATTGGTTTTACGTAGCTAATTTTCCTAGACTGAAAAGTTTGTTGGATTAACCTGAAATTGTGTGCATTATGCTGATTTCCATCAAAATCTAGTAAATTTCACCACTCTCCTTATGTATAACTATTTTCTCTGCACTCATTTCGATCGATGATCGAATTCCTTGAGATGCTATTCGTTTTAATTTTTGGCTGGTGGTCTCGAGTCTCTTTATGGTTCGCTTTGCGATAAACTTCCTCAGGTTTTCTGTTTTTGTAATAAGTGATACCTCCATGGATACAATTCTAAAACCCGCCTCCGACATAACTTCCAATCTGAAATTTAAGGTCTTTCTATGTTTTGTTCAACAAGTGTGAAGCTTTAAAAAATTGTATGGTTTGATCCAAACAATGCTGCAAAGTTTCGTGTGTTTTTGTAAAGTTATGGTCATGTCAACACTATTCAATGAACATACGTATATAATATGCTGAAAGCATTCAATCCTGGTATGAAAATTGAAATTTATCGGAAAATATTTTGTAATGAGTGGTCAATTTTCAATATTGTCCATACCCGTCAAAAATTATTCAAAGAATCTCTTGATGATTCTCCAAGTTATGTTAGTACGGTCAACGTCCCATCTATAGGTCATTAAGTCTGGAGTGGTAGTAGTGCCTAAAGTTTTCATATGGTTTGCAATCATCAGCTAACATTCATGTTTGTATTCACATAAATGGATAATGTCATGTAAACGATTCGTTAGTAGGTAAAGAATATCACCTTGCAAACTAACTTCTTCAAAATACGCGATCACTTTAATCCAGTTTCCCTTAATTTTACATTCGACCACTTTATTTATACTGAAGTGAATATTTTTGTCTTCTAAATTGTATAAATCACTCGAAAAATCCATATTTTTTGGTTATTCCCAGGTTCAAACGATTCGGAAGCAATCAGTGATCCACCTTCTGGCTTATTCCATGGAATCTATAATCGCACACCAACTAAATTGGTCAGTTCTTCAGTGGAGTGTAACGGGAAGAGTGGCCAAAATGATAAAGGCAAGACTAATGAATATAAATACCCTGCAAAACAATCCAAATGTACATCTGATATTTGTTTTAGACGTACAAGTTCCTTAGAAGATTCTGGCTGCAATAACTCGAACATACGTTCAGCAAATCATCATAATTTAGGTTCTCCCTATTCACGTTTCCGTTCCAGTGATTCCGGATTAAAACCCGGATGGTTAGTTTGAAGTTTCATTACCGTATATTTTATCACAATAAAGTGTACATTTATCTGATCCATATATTATTAGTTATGTTAATGGTGACTAAAACAGTAACTTGACCTTTATATATTGAAAATTGTACATTATTTTAATCGCTATGTCAACTATAAATATTTTAGAGCTTTGCCTATCTGCCTCATAAGTCTTTGGAACGCTGCGTATAGTTGTGTTGTGATACTTTATCTTTGTTAATTATGTATACTCAAACTAATAAATTAGTGCACTTCGGTAGAATCTAGTATAGGTTGTCAGTCAATCATAATCAACAAAGCCTTATACGAGCAAGCGTCAATCCGATATGTCAGACCAATCAGGCAGTGCACAGTATAGGCACATGCCATCGTTCAAAACTTGGCTTCACTTTTTAAGAAAGGACATTTTTGATTGAAAATGTAGGTTTGTTTTCCAGGAAGAAAAGGTGTATATTTTGGAATGAGTACATATGTTCTCGATTCAGTTCCAGTCAATAAGTCTTTCTTATCACCCAAGTAACTAGTTTGTGCTCGCGTATAGAAATCTTGTGTGGTCAGCATCAGGATCAGATGACTGTGCAACAGAACGCAGCCGAAGTTGCTGTAGAAGATAAACATGACGTGAAAAAAATCCCAAGATGAGCAGCGAAGCCCGAATAAAAGCAGCAATCATGGTTGCGCAAAAGATTGAGTATAGGAAGCTATGGTTTGAACGGATAAACTCAGGTAGCGAGGAGTAAGAAATGTTGTTCGAGCTCAGGAAGTAGTGTAAGACAGATTGAGTGTACTTGGGCTGATGTGGTTGATTCTGATTCATGTGGTTATTGTGCGAAATCCATCCAGGCAGTCTGGACCTGCTGACAAGTTTCAAGCCGAAAAGTGATAGTTTCTTGAATTGATGTCACTTTTATTTCACCTTCCTCCTAACTTTCTTCCAGCTGCTTCTGCTGCAACTTAAAATAAAACTGCCTTTTCCATGCTCTCAGATAATGCCAGTCTTTGTTACTTAGTTTTTTACTTTGAATTGGTGTTTATTTTCTGCTATAACTGCCATACTCTAGATTTCCCTCTCCTATTGATCCATCAGTAGTTAAATGATTGGAAGTAATTAATTAGAAACCCTGAACTTTAGTATTCTATACTAGTTGGCATTTATAAGCGAAACGTGTCTGGAGTTTCAAAGAATCTGTTGCATCCATAGGATCGGGACCTGCATCACCTCACCTCGATCATAAAAGTTACTCCTTAGAGATTGAAACGTATAAATTAGCTGATCACGTATTAATAACCAATATCATCTCTAGTCTTGTTTACGATTGAATTTCTTCCCGTTAAGATTGATTGGTGGTTTCCAGCCTAAGTGACTCCCGGTCATAATGTAAATTTTCCAATGTTATGTGGTTTTTTTTTACTACTCATTGCCTCATAATTGGTCTTCTCATGAACACTATTGATTAAGTTAATATATCCACCTAAGCAGATATGTCGGTTTGATCCAACAGTTAAAGATTTCGCTTTTTGTACTTTTAATAGATTAGTGGAAGTATTTCAAACTGGAAATACTATATTACTAGCTATATCATGTGTACTTAGAGAATGATGAATATATTACATAGTGGATATTTGTTGTTAATTTGTTGCTAATTTCTCGAACTGACGTTGACTAAATAATAGTTGAAAATCTGGAAGCACTGGACAGCTTTTCGCTTTAGTATGAGACTCACTCTCTCTGAAGCCTAAAAGTCATTGGTTTTTCCCTAGGTGTTGTATGTGTGCGCTACTGAGAAGTCTCATGATAGAATAGAATAGCTGTGCAGTGTTCTTTGGTTTTCAATGATTGTTTAAATAAAGTCAGTCTGCGATGTTATCTACAGTTAGTTTGATTGTTTGTAACCTGGAATTACAAGAAAGAGTCACGCTTCTCTTTCCCAACGTGTACCTCTCTGGATTATAGTTGTTTTTGCTGAAATCATAATTTGCTTCTCCATACTGTTGTGCAGTGGAATTATGTGTTCTGTTAACTGTCACATTTTACTCGTTACTAATCAGTGTTACAATATAAAAACATGGGAAACAAATGTGTGATTTCAGTTTATTATAAAACAGGTAATGTAATTTTTTTAGTTTACTATGGGTCACCAGGGTTCTTGGTATTAGCGTGATTGCGCCACAAAATGAAGTTATGCTATTCAGACAATGGTACCGAGTTCTCCCGAAAATCAGAATATTGATAAGTTACCGTAATGTAGCTAGTGGCTTACTGGTTAAATTGCTTGACTTCCAACCAATACATTGTGTGTTCGAACTTCATTCCGTGGCTCTTGATTCGAGTTGTCGGGAGTATCAATAGCCCTCACACTTAATATCTGTCTGGAAATTGACTAAATAAGCGCACACTTGGTAAATAAATTTCAGACTAACTGACATCTATTACTAGAACAATTGAAATGGACGGTTTTATTTTGAATTATTGTCAAACTATCATCATTATCAAACATCAGCTAAGATTAATAAGTGGTTGAATTTTTTTTATTGATAATTTGTTTCTATTTGTTTTTGTCTTAATTGATAATGATATGTAACTAAATCTGCTCAGGCTTATTTTGTCTAAAATGATTAGTTACTTTATCTATGCATAACTTCCCTTTCGTTTCACGTTTCTCATTTATAGATTTATTTATGTCTATATGGATTAAGGTTTGTGTAACTTGTATGAAATTGTCTAATCAAATAATTAGCACCCACGCTATCACATAAAATTGTGTCTAACCTTGACATATAAGACTATTTATTTTGCATAGATTATTTTTGTGATTACACATTTTCGCGTTTAGCTTTTCGAAACAGCTGTTTGTTTCCATTTATCTTTACACATTGAATGTGATTTGCAGATTATTTTATTTGAGAGTTTAATTTTGTTCATTAATTCTCTATGTAAGTTTTTTATCATCGAACTTTCCCATTGATGTTTAAGTGACGTCTGATCTAGTACATCACTAAGACTTTTGGATTAACTTTAACATTTTTGTTCGATCAGATACTAATTGTGTTGAATAACTTGAATGTAGTACGTCATAATTTTTATTATTTTTCTCTCGTCAACTAGTATTTTTTGTACCTATAGTAATTACCGAATATATGTAGGAAGCGAGATTCACAACTCATAAAGCTAACATATCTAGTAGACTATATGAAATGGTTTTCAGATGATACTCTTTTGTTCCTCATGTGGATTGTTATCTTCTACACATATAAATCGGTAAGAATAAATTTGGCATGGCGTCTTTTACTACTACTCAACACACACAAACACAACTTTAGAAGCTGTGTGTCAGTACTTTGTATGATGTATTGTATGATGCAAAGAGAATTAAACTGTCCAAAGAGTTGCACAAACGTATAAACAAATCAGAGTTAATTTTATATTAGATATTTTATTTGAGTCTTTCGGATTCTGTAGTCATGGGTTTTTACTTGCTCATCAATAGTTCACTTTTAGATGTTTGGGATTGAAGTTCCCTCAGTATTCAAATCCACACTGTTTAACTTCATCACCAAAGATGTATTTTCATATTGAAAATTGTTGGCAACAGACTAATTGTGCAACCGCAACAACATGCTCATTTTTTCGCTATCAGAAATATGGTTATTCCTTGATTTTTATAAGTGATTTAAAATCTACACTATATCATCAAAACCTGTGGTGGTTAGACCAAGAGTAAGACCTTTTGTTGTTTTGATAGTAACTAAAAATTTCAAACTATTTTTTTATTTTGGAAGCAAAACTAATGCCAAACTGCCATGATGCTAGTGTATAAACTACTTTAATTACTAATATTTCAAAATGATGTGGTTACTAATAGATATGATCGCCTAATTAGTGCACATTTATCGAAACCCTACGATCCGTATTTTGTTGAAGTATTTTTTTTCTTAGTAGATAATGAATCTCAGTATTTAGAGCCTTTGAAATTCATCCATTGGGAAGATTTTGAACTTGCAATAATGTTTCATAAGTCGTTTGCACCAACTTGAAGATTACATGTTAGATTGAATGAATACTGTTTATCTTACTGTGTAGTCATTTGGTTTTTTGCACAGTCCGTGCATAGTTGGTCAACTTCACTTTGCTAAAGAAAACATATTTTTGTATATTTCTAATAACCATAATCCAGTTTAATTCCACTGAAATCTACATTTGGGCTGTTTTGGCAAATCATTGTATGCATAAGTTGATGTGGTTTTTGTGTAAACTGAAACTCTGGTTATCAGTTTAGGGGTTCTTATGAAATACTTTTGATCTTGAAGAAATC